TCTCTCTCTCTCTCTCTCTCTCTCTCTATATATATATATATATATATATATATATATATTTAAAAGTTTTAAGAGCAATAGTAAGAACCAATACAAACTAAATTCGAGCAGAGAAAATGAAAAAGAAAAGAGAGAAATAACAAAAAAAGCTAAAAGTGCAATAAGAAAAAAACGAGAAAGTAGGAAAAAATGAGAAAGATATAAAGAAAGATATAAACGTATATAAAGAAGTAGCTTCTGATATTCTTCACAGCAGTTACAAGTATCATTATATTTTAACCTCTCTAAAGTTATATCATGAGGCACCACCTGACTATATCAGATGTTAGTCAGTGGAACAGGCCACCGGATGAAGGAGCCAATTCTCCTTCACTACAGAGCTTCAGACCAAGCCTGGAAGCCCATCTGCCACGTGCTGCAGTGGATCCTACCCTTAGCAGGGAGCTGGACCAGATGATGAAACTTCAAGGATGTAGATATAGATGAGACATTAGGAAAGCTTCTTGACAGGAAGAGCTATCAATCAGAGGAATAGGTTACTGCATGGAGTGGTTTCTTTCCTTAACTGGAGGTTTTCAAACAGGCTGGATTGTCATCTACTGGGGATGGTGTGGTGCACTGTTTCTCAGCCTTGCTGAATTTCTTCAACTCCCAGAATTCCACCCATCTGAAACTTGCCAAGATTGAGAAACACTGGTGTAGTGAATCCTGCAGTGTGCAGGTTGGGCTTCATGGCCCCTGAAGTTCCTTCCAACTCTATGATTCTGTTCTCTCCAATTTTTTACATCCTTCTTCACTCAAATTAAATATTGTTGCTATGTTTACTTTCTAGTCATGCCTTTAACCATTTCCCCCTCTTCTTTGGATGATGACTGGGGACAAGTTAAAATGATAATGAAACTGATGAAGCTTACAGAGAGATTGCAAGGCATACTAAGATAATTTCAGTGAAATATTTTAAAGCTGTAGTACCCTGTTCACAAACAATATTATTAACAAGTGAATGATCCTTACTGATCAAAACTGGATTTCCACCATCCTTGTACACAGCCTCTGGGGGATGTTCTCTCCATGAAATATCTGATGGGGCTTCCTCAACCTCTGTGGTCACTGCATGAGATGGTATCTGAAACAATAAAGACTCACTCAGGACCCATGAAGAATGTTGGGAACATGAAGAGTTTCTAAGAGTCATTGACATACTCTTGAATCACATCAAAAGGAGCTAAGTTTACCCTATCAAGTTGAAACAAATAGTCTCCATATTTTAAGCCAGTATCTCTCATCCCAATCTATCTAACAGTGCTGTTGTAGTGGGTTAAAATTAGTGGGAGAAGTACAGTCCTGTTCATAGCCTGAATAAAGGTCTTCAGAATGCAAGGGAATCCATGGGTGGAACAGCTAAAACAGGAATCCGTACACCCCCCAGATGCGTGGACTAATTCCCAGAATTCCCCAGCCAGCATCACTGTTGTTGAGACTTCTGGGAGTTGGAGTCTACACAACTGAAGAAAAGCCAGGTTAAAATTTGAACTAGGATTGGAAGAACCAAGTTCAAAGTATGGAAACTTTACTTGGATTGTGGATATGGGCAAAAAATTGGAGGCAGGAGGACTATCTAGATCCTCCTGAGATCATAGAAGACAAGGCAAAGCCTTCCTTGAATCACGCTTGACTCTTGATGACTTCCTGGACACATCCATGAATTGGCTTACCACAATCTTGCTAATGTTTTTTTACTGCTCCTCTCATTTACAATTGACATTCCCTGCTTGATTCCCACCAAGCTACTCTCCAAGATCCCATTACTAGCCAGGTCAGACAAGCAGGTTACCCCAAAGCCATGTGCTGGGAATGTCCTCACTTGGATTCTGCAGGAATTGTACTTGATGGCTTAGATCAGTGTTTCTCAACCTTAGCAACTTTAAGATGAGTGGCCTTTCTCACTCCACCATACTCCCCCCCCC